TGCGGGACCAAGTCACCCCCATCTACGGGGACAGGATGAGCGCTGTAAGTTCTCCCATCATTTTATGAGTATAAAAACCATTCCATCGGTAACAACCAATCGGCAAAAGCGACAACTTTTAACGATAAGAAAGTGTCTTTAAAACCGGTCCAAGTCAAGGGATTAATAAATATAGACATAGTTTATTTTGAAACCTCTTTCAAAAGGAAAGGCAATATTTACCCAGATAAATACAATGACATATTAACAGAAACTTCGGGAAAGCAGACAAAACCTAAAATAAGGTTTAAAACGTTACTATGAAGAAAGGAAAGCTAATGCAAAGATAAGGACATGCGTCGCTCACTCATAGATATATATGCTGCTAGACTTCTACTGCTTGAACATATATGCAACACGCCGCGGTTTCTTGGAAGCAAAATGCTCAATAACGCGCTGATTAAAGTCATGCATCCCAGAAATAACGTCTCTGTGAATGGATAAAACAGCCAAGGAATTTAATCCATCTTGCTTCATTGTGTTTCTGAGATACGTTTTAATACGCTTCAGCTTGCTGAATGTTCGCTCTGCGTCGGCGGAAGAAATAGGCGTCGTCAAAATGATGTCCAGAAATTTTGCAGACGCCGCAAAGGTAGTTACTAGAGTGTTATCTATGAGGAACCCATAGAGCGCGCAAGTTGATGTGATGTTCAAAAAAGTTTGATTGGTGTATATACATCGCAATTCATTTTCCAATTTACCCACGTTTATCATGGGGTAAAATTTGGAGACAGTAGCCAACAAATGGATGGGAAATTGACGTGCAAATTTTGAAAATTTTTGGGGTTCATCAAAGAGAACGCGGCAAGGTGTTCAGTGCGCAGACGATCGCCTATTTGATTCACCAGAATGTCACAGCATTCCTTTGCAGACAAAATCAAACGCTGCGTTGTTTGCCCGCGGCGTAAAGAAGCACTCCATGTGTCGTCGTATTTTATTGTTTCCCGGATACGAGATACAGCATCGCAGAAGTCTGAAATACACGACTGCACAGACGCTCCATCCATTAGCCTTGACTGCAATGCGCCCTATAATACATCCACGTGATAGAATATTGTGGAGAAAAAAGCGAGAAAAAATGAAAACTCACCATCTTCTAGCAGACGCTTTAGACCTGCCGCCTCCCTCACAGAGCGTTCGTCTCAAACCGGAGAACTCTGAATGCCATTGAAACACTCAATGAGCTCAGACCTAATTTCGGACACGCCCTGCACCACGCGTGATTTGAAGTTCCGACGTGTTGGTGCACAAGCTGGGAGACGGCGGCTACATATCTGGCGAAGGAGGTCAGAGCGCTTCGGCGAAACGGAAAAAAATGAAGAAAACCCCGAAACATTTGCAAAAAATATACGGACGAGAGGGGTATCAAGACACATATTTTTAATAACGAGGTTAAATTGGTGTGCATAACAATGTAAAAAATGCGCATGAGGAAAATCTTCTTTTATATAAACTTGAACACCATGTTTCGACCCACTCATGACTGCCGCGCCGTCATAAGTTTGAGCTATCAATTTTGACTTCGCGTTGTAAGGCTGTAAGACTTCTTTCAGTACAGCCGATATCCCGCAAGCCGTGCGATCAACGATTGGTACAAAGCTGTGAAATCTCTCGGTAGGTTTACCATCTTTCACAAACCGAAACATCACAGCCAGTTGGGAAACGCACGTGATGTCAGTTGTCTCGTCAGACTGAATCGAAAGGAACTGGCAATTCTCAATTTCCAGAGCCAAATGTTGTAATTAAATTTCATACATTGAGTCGAGCAAATCATTTTGGATACCCTTAGATGTCCCTTTCGAAACAGTTGCGGCATCAAGATGATCTCTCAATACTGTATCTAAGGATGCGGTGTATTCCACCATATCCAAAAATACCCCTCTATTAGAAGAGCCAGCCCGTTCATCGTGGCCACGGAGGGACAGCTCGTGACAACCAATGAACTTCAAAACATCTATCAATCGACCGAGAACATGGCGGTTTTTCTCGACGTTTTGGTTGTGCCGACGAATAGAAACCGCGCGTCCTTCATCCAACTGTGCTGCAATATTAACATTTCGCAATGTTCGGTATTTTACTGCATTGTCCAGATGCTCCATAGAAGATTGATGATCCCTGGCACGCTCGGAAAGATGTTTAAGATCTCTAAAACTAAATTTACACCAACGTGAGTCACGGGCGGTAGCAAAAAGTAGGCAATAAAAACAAAAAGTGCATTTTTGTCCTCGCTGTAACACAACCATTCGTGTTTTTTATACCAAGTTTCTGCGCAGAATGTACGCCGACGCTTTCCTCCGTCATGGGATTGTTCCAGTGAACAATTTTTTGGTTGATAAGGCCCAAGACGTTGTACCTCTAATTTTTGTTCCAGCGGCAGCTGCGAAAACGGAGTGCGAAGTAGTGCATCAACCTTATTCATTATGAGGTCTAAGGCTAAGAAATGCGAAGCCGGAAAGAAGTGAGGAGCTCAAAAGGAATGTGGAAAATCGAAAGCAAATGGACTAAAGGTCTCTAACTGATTCAAATAGCGAAACAAGCGACAAAAACGAAGGCGAGGAAACTATCAACTCTTCAAGCAACCAACGAACGAGAAGGAATGCGTGAATATGTCAACACGTTGTTGTAAGAAACGTCGGCATTGTGTCGTCATAATTTCGGGGCTAGCCCCGATGATTTAGTAAAAGAAACAGAAAACAAACGAGACAAACGCGGCGAGTGGAAGATAAAAGAGAGAATACGATATACAATGAGCAACCGGGGCAAAATCGGCGTCGCCCCGTGGACGTTCGGCGAAGGCTTTGCGAGCGAAAAATGAACCATGTCGGGAGAATATGGCTAGTGTAGACAGTCTGTGCAACCGATATTGAGGTATTTTTCGAATATTTTTTAATATACCGAAAAAAACAACCGGGGCATTGCCCCGGTTGGCCCTATTGACGCGCCGCCACTGAGCTTCAGTATGCTTAACAGCGTCTTGGTCTGATCTGGAACATTTTCCCACATTGTACAAGCCCTCTTTTTGCCATGACCAAAGAAGAAAGACGTTGTGTCATACCCTGTTAGAGCGTGAAATAGGGGTAAACTCTGCGACTTTTCCTACCCGAGATTCTTGGACATTTTATGAATCGGTGGAATCCTTTGATTCTTTCCCGTTCCAAACATGATTCAGAGTTCTGAAACTTCAACTTGATCGAGGGATGCTACTGTACATGCGTACCAAGTTTCATGCTTGCATCCAAAAGTGCAGGAGTATATATCTAAATAGTACAATTGTCCCCACTAGTTATTGGGGAGTCTTTGTGGAATATATTTTTGGAAAATATAATTACTTCAATCGTTTTTCTATTTATTTCCTTTTGTACCACTAAGGCGACGTTAGATATAGTTTAGAATAATCAACGATTCCAGCCGAGTTTGAGCTGAAATGTAATGCAAGTTTTCCGTTTTTATATGACTGAGATACTAATGCCAGAGTTAAGAGAATGAATTTATCTTTATTATTATATATGATGACGATATGATAGCTCCAAGATAACAGTAATCCGTCAGTTAGGCTATGAGATATAAATTTTATATTTTAACCAGCTTTACGTGGCTATGAGTTTGAAAGTAAACCATTGGCGATGGCAGTTGATTGAGCACAAGAGGAACTGCTTTTATCTGTTGCGGGCTTGGTGTTGTCATATTCAGACTGTCCATCAGCCGACCCAAAAATTCATACTGGTATTCCATTCCTCCTATTTTTATCAAGCCAGTAATTGTCTGTTAATTGTTTCAGAACAATCTTTCCTAGCAAAGAAACTGGATCGAATCACGAATGGGGGACTTAGTTTGATTTTTTGGACACGAATGAGGGATTTCATTTGACTGTGGTTCTTGATCATCTTCGAAGACGAGTTACAAATTTCCAACATTCAAATGATTGTGTGTTCTAATGTCGACCTCCCTTAGGTGGCCAGAGTATAGCCTACTAATGACAGTAACCTTATCAGGAATATATGAGATTTCAGACAATATTCTTAAAACGGGTATTGATGAATCAGCCTGATGACCAAGGTTTAAATCAATGGTCTGCGTATAAAAAAAACTGCCAAGTTCGCATCGATGGTGGTATGTAGCCTACGCTCGGATGTGGTTTTCGATATAAATTGCATTGTTATGTTTAATTTAGCTTTTCTTAAATTTAGCGGCTCGTCGCATAATCAGGAGAAGTGTTCTCGGGGATCTTGACTTCCACTCCAAAAATAAGCGCCTATTAAACAAAGTCTTCCCAAATTTGATGGGAGACTTCAGTTCAATAAAATAAGACTGTTTAGATGGGTTGGGAACCCTGAACTGAAATCTATGTGGTTGGGAACCACTGGTCTTGTCTTGAGGATAAGTTTTCCAGACGATATTCGTCACATATTTCTAAATCGGTGCTGTGCTGGGTGAGGAAAACATCAAGTGATTAGCATGCCCGAATAATTTATATAAAACTTTTTTTTGGTATTGTTCAAAAGTCAACTCTAAACAGTCAATGTTTACCTTGTTGTGTACTAGATAAATATTAATAGCTGCTGCCATTCTCACTTCCAATTCAAGCCAAGGTGCGAATTTGTCGTCTTGAACGAATACAATTCAAACATCGGAAAGTCTAGAAAATTTTCCCTGCACATTATAAAAGGAGAGCCAAATACTGTACAAGAATCTTTGATAAAAGTATTTCAACCGTTTATGCTCCATTTCCGCGCGAAGGACACGTTAACATAGACACGCTCGAAGACCGGTCACGCACCGGTGGTGTTAGTTTAATCTATTGTTCGTCCTCCCGCAACTGCAAAGTTATTCACTCACAGGAAACCTTTGCACACTCGGTCTGAGCTGTATCCTAACTCAAGATAACATTCTCGTTTAACTTCGTCGTAGGTCAGTAGGCACTAACGCCGGGAGCTTGAATGCTTTTCATTCCAGTGTTTACCTTTGCTTCATTATTTTAACAGGTTTCAAACAGAATAATAGTTTATATCCGTATATATGTAACTTATATTGATATTTCCTAAAAAAAATGATGAAAGTTGTGATCTTTGTGTGTGTGATTGGAATTGCATTGGCAGGAGTTGCGAAAAAAAACAGAGTAGTCGAACCAAAACCACTAAGTGATGAAGAGCCAGGATCAAAAGAGTATGATCATGAGGCTTTTCTGGGAGAGCAGCAAGCTGCGGAATTTGATGAACTTCCTCAAGAAGAAAGCCAAAGAAGACTTGGGTAAGATCTGGAATTGAAGAAATTCTGGAATACCAGCCTGTACGTCCACAAAATACCGGTACTGCAGTACTAGTACAGTCTGACAGTTGTATGGTTAATGCTGTAATGCATAACGTTAAATGAAATATTTTACTGCAGTGGATAGATGGAATAAACAGACACAAAGTATCTTTGCCTCATCTTGTCATTTGATTGTTAGATTCAGGGTTTGATCAAACGCATTATGTCATTTAATCGTTAAAATTCAATGTTCGATCAAACGTTTTAGTCTAGCAGTCTAGGTTAGACTACATGAATTTCATCTTTTTTACAGAATCATCGCTGACCGCATTGACTCAAACAAAGATGGGAAGGTGGATAAAGAAGAATTAGCAGCGTGGATCAAAAAAGCACAAACACGGTATGTGGAAGAAGATGCAGCAACTCAAATCCAAAATATGGATGAAGACAAGGATGGTCAGATACATTGGGATGAATATTATAAATCTACATATGGCCATGTTACTGGTAAGCAATCACAGTATTGCACAGTTATTCAATTCCAAGTATAGCCCCCACATTAAAAGATCAATTATAACAGTGACTGCGAACCCCTCTCCTATAACAGTCTCGGAATCCATAACATCAAAAATTGGCAGACCAGCACTATGCAACAAACTCGCCACTTTATTACATTGCACTCCCCACATCATCTTTGTATGAGATTGTATTTGTCATTATCAATGTAAGTGTTAAAAGTACAACAGCCCTAAAGTTTAATACTATCGTGTATTTTGTGTGTTAAGTTTGGCCCAAGCCTCATTTAATTTGGTTTGTGTTTTTGTGTGTGTGCTGGTGGGCAGGCACATGATATGTTTAAAATTTCTTTATGGGTTTTGCTTGCTTTCCAGAATTCTCCATTTTTAATTTGTGTTTGTTATGGAGTTTTCAAAATAAACTATCCATTTATCTAAACTGAAGGGAAGTGCAATCTGAAAATGTCACTATTAGATTCCTCTGGAAAAAATTTTTACAGTAGAATTCCAGAGTCTTTTGCGAAAAAACACAATTTTAGTCATGTGACAGCCGATGTATGTCACGATTAATTTAGATGTTATTGAGACAAGCATGGTTCAATCTGAGGTATCGGCCATCATGAAAGATGCCCTTATTTCAAAGACTTATTGAGGGTTTGTTTTATTGAACTGAATATCAGGACATCTTGGAATCGGAGAACTGTGCCCTACTGAATAAAGTCTTGCTTAGTATATTTTTCACTATTTCGATGTCATTTTTGTTTCCCATGTTTCTGAAAAAAAATTTAATAGACTAGTATACGACGACCAAAAATCCTTGTTTGAGGCAAGGTTAGTTATATGCAACTCTTTGAGAAATATTCTGCTTTGTTCATGAATGGCCTATGTTGCCGACTCTGACTTGGTCTTCAAACCAATTATCCTTTTTTTAAGATCTGTAATATATTGAAGAACCATGTCATCGCTATTACAATAAATATTTGCCTTGTTTTTAGGATTATACAATTTTAGAAATTATCCCACAGATATTTCAATGTTTTTTATTTTTTGAAAAAGTTTGATAGATCAACAGGCAGATCGACAACTGTCATTCGACTAAAATAATTTTTTACCTTGTTATTGATGAATATTTTCTTCTTTAATTAAGAGGATGATATGAAGGAGGATGAAGAAAATCATGGATTTAGCTATAAAAAGATGATTGCTAGAGATGAAAAAAGATGGAAGGTACTTACCATTGGCATATTTAAGTAATTAAGCTTGTCTGATATAGCCTACTTGTGTGATGGAACTTCTATAATGCCAGATAATCTTGAAATACGGCAGAGTTTGGAAAAAAATCATATGATTCAAATTCAGGGGTGCAGTCCATGCTTGTCAGTGTTACATTAACAATAATTTTAGTCATTTCTAGTGGCAGTAAAGGTTTTCTTATTTACACTCTATCTTGGCACCTTGACCTTGTGATTCAATTAGATATCTGCAAAATATTGTCCCAACCTCTCCTACAAGCTATGCTTATTAAATGGGATATTTTATTGCTCTGGTTATAATATGATAGAAGTGAAGTCATTTTTAGGTTCCCATTGGGGCGACTATAGACTTTGGCATTTCCAAATTTTAGGTTTTAGCGAATTCTAATCCTGTTTTCTTCTATTATCTCTAACAGACAATGACAGAAATGAAACAAGTTTATTATTTTCATTACAGGTTGCTAATCTTGATAATAACGATTACCTGAGTGTAGAAGAATTCCAATCGTTTTTGCATCCTGAAGAGTTTTCTCATATGAGAGATGTTGTTCTTGATGAAACTTTCACTGACATTGATAAGAATGGAGATGGTTCTATCAGTTTAGAAGAATATATCGGTTCGTTTCAATTTGGGTTAATCCGAACATTTTGATTAATTTGGAATGATCTCACTTCAATATTTGTTCAATGTTAATTTCTTGTTTTTAATAAATTTTTTAGGTGACATGTATAATGAGGAGGAAGATGGTGAAGAACCTGAATGGGTTAAAACAGAGAGAGAACAATTTGTTGCACATAGAGATGCAGATAAAGACGGAAAGTAAGTGATAAAATTAATGTTTAATAATGAAATAACTCACTACCAAATACATTGAAACAAATATAATAAATAGTTTTAGTGTCCTGAATTCTGTTTAATTCAAGCGTTTGAGAAATGAGTAATATTTGCACTTGTTCTAGTAAAAATAATTGTCAGTCGAGAAATATTATTTGATCATTAAATTTGGAATAAATTAGAACAATTGCATAGTGGGGAACATATTCAAACAGTCGATTTAAGATTTTGAAAAAAATTTTTGTATCTTGTCAGGTTAAACAAAGAAGAAGTTCGATCGTGGATTCTACCTGATGGGTATGATGCTGTCGAAGCTGAAACCAGTCATCTAATGTACGAAGCAGATTCTGACAAGGTAACAAGACTATTTAATATCATAGACTGCTCAATTTAATATTGTCTCATGTCAACACTTTTGTTTGTATCTTAGGAGTATTGACCCAATAACAATTCTTCCAAATAATAGGAAGCGCTTTATGTATCGTTCGATATCAGTGACTGCTTGTACATGGTTTATTCGGAGCGAAATTTATCATTTCGCTGAAAAAAATATCTGACATATTTCTTTATCTTATCAGGATGAAGTTTTAACAAAAGAGGAGATTCTTGAACATCATGAAACGTTCGTAGGATCGCAAGTCACCAACTGGGGAGATGATTTGAAACGCCACGATGAATTTTAAGGAAGTTATATAATATGAATATGACTGTTAGGTTATTTCAAATGCTTAGGTTGTATCAAACGCTCGCCATATTAGGCTATAAAAAAAAAAGCAATACCGGGTTACAAAATGATATTAACGCTCTTGTACTTTGATCTGTAGGAAGCAATGAACGGAACTTGATGATTTATCAAATTTTAATATCATGAGTAATTATATAACATTTTTTTTTGAAATAGTATATAATGCAAAAAATGATGCTTCCAATTTTCAAAACCTTTAGTAATTCTTACGATTCGAATAGTGCCAGAATGGCAAATATTGTAACATTTTTAAATATCTAAAGTGCTTTCACATAGTTAAAGAGTGCCTTTTTCAAAAATAATTGAAATTTTAGACTGTAACTCAAACAATGATGTACTACGAAAAGCTGTTATGAATTTGTAGCAAATAAATTTAATTTCATTATCAAATATAATTTGATTTTCTTATGGTGCCTCGTTTTAATTAAAGCACATTTTAGCGAAGTTATTTGAATCGTTTGAAAATCTTGCATGCTGAATCGTTTGAAAATCTTGCATGCTTTTGTATTTAATCATATCAAAGATTTCTTTCATTATTGAAGCTCAATGCTGTGATTGTAGCAATCTTGTTTTCGATGAATACTCGCCATTGTACTCTTGTGTGAAGTTGAATGGGATTTTATAGTTAGCCAAGAGTCAATTGATGCAATTACCGGTAATCATTTTTGTTTTGTCTTAAAATTATGAAAGCACAATCTTGATTTGGTTTCATATTAAAATAGTTTTTCAAATTTTAAGTTTTCAAAATTTTACACAACTTGTACTTTATGTTGCATAGTGTTTGAGATTATTTTATACAACTTTTGGAGGGAATTTCTGTATACTGCCTGAAATAAAAATCTGAAGCAATTTTTTTTCTCTAATTTTGTAAAACTGCTCTGAATATTCTTTAGTTATAAATTTGCAGAAAGATAGGAAATTTAGCTTATGTGACAAATTCCATATTCAATTTGCTCCTTAGGTATTATGGCTACCAATCAGAATCTTGTTTGTTTGAAGGGTGTGAAACCCTCGTTAGTAAAGTAATTTAAATTTTTGCTGTTTGATTTGGATTTCCTTCATTCAATGATTGCTCTATTTTTTTATCATTTAAAATAAATAAATTTAGTTCATAATATCTGAATATTTACAAAATAGAAAAAAGTTTGTTCGACCATATTTAGGATTCTCCTGATTTCGGATGTCAAATTTAGTATAGTCAATCTATTTAAATGATATTACATAATATGTGCTTTGTATTATTATCTATGTACTAATTGCAGTGTTATGCTTCTAAATTGCCAGTCTAAGTGCCACATTTATGAGGTAGCCATGTTATGGCCTGTTTCCTTGTTTCAGTTATTTCACATTTTTATATGTTGGGTTGCAATATGCAATGACGGGATTTGGTTTCAAGTTGCAAAGTTATTTCAAATATTTATGTGTGCTCTCAAATATATAAGTAATGTTGCAAAAGGTTTTTATTCAATTCCTATAATATTATCTTCTGTATCAAGTAATATGTGGATCAAATCCAAACCTAACGTAAGAAATTCTGTATTGTATTTTCAGTGATCTCCTACTTATTCATCCATACCGGCTTGAATGTTTTTTCTACACAATTTGAGTTATGTGCATGTTTACCTTTGTTTTTTGTATTATGTCCCAGAAACTTATAATGATGTTACACACAAGCGATAGAGGAATGCTCATTGCCCAATGAATTCTTTGTTAATCATTGCTCCATGCTTGACAATTTCGAAAAAACCAATTATTACAATATTTTTGACTTTATATTACAGTACAGGTATTAGTCATATTGTAGAACTAGTAGTTTGGTTAAATTAGTTGACCAAATTGTCACCATCAAAATGTCTTTGAAAAGTCTTTTGATTGTATGTCTCCTGATCGAATTAACATTCGCTGGTCGAGTTGTTGATCAGAAATTAAGTGATGAAGAACCTGGAACACAAGATTATGATCATGAAGCATTTGTTGGTCAAGAAGAAGCAAAAGAATTTGAGAAGTTGACACCAGAAGAAAGCAAAAGAAGACTTGGGTATGTTTACCTACCCACTTATTGCCTTTTTTTTTCAACTGAAAACCTACGTTTTTCATGGTCCTCCATTACAGATTTTCCAGAGAATTTGGTTTTTTCATATGTCCCTTTGTCAAACTGTTTGCTCTGAACCAGACCTTATACAAACAACCGCTGATATAAGGAGTTACTTTTATTTGGAAGGTTTCCGGTTCAGCATTGCCCCACCAACTTATTACACCCCTTTTCTCTTTTTTTTTTAGAATAATTTTTGATAGAATTGATGTAGATGGTGATGGTACTGTAGATGAAACTGAGTTACAGAATTGGATTACCATGACGCAAAAAAAATATGTTACTGATAATACAAAGAAAGAATTTGAAAATCATGATGAAAATCAAGATGGAATTTTAACATGGGATGAATATTACAATATAAACTTTGGATTTTTAAAGGGTAAGACACTAAGATTTAGTTTGCTTAATTTCAATATTTTTTACAAATTCACTAAGGATTCAATGAATTGAGTTTCATCAAGAATTTTAATTTACCCAGCGTTTTTAAAAGATCATGTTTTTACTTGTGAAATAAGTGGATTCGATTTGATTAAGTTTTTTTTGGAATTATGTAAAAGAAACTACCGTAACCAACAGTGTTAACTCTAAGCGAATTATGAGTGCGAAAGTGCTTCGCAGTCGAAAAAAAAAGTGCGAAAGTGCTTTTGCCGATTTTAACAAGTTAGGTGCTCTAGCCTTTCATATAACCCATTTAAAACGGCATAGATACTCGAAAAAGCGCTCCTCCGGTTAATATTATGAATTAAAGAGAAGCCTTTCCGTTAACTGAGTTCCCTTTAAGCGAATTCATGTTTAATTAAAACAAGCGAATTCATCGGCAACAAAAGGACATCTGCTAACACGTGCCGCGAACAAAATTTTTCATTCAATGTATCACGGTGTCAGTTGCTTACTCGCGTGAACAGCAAAGACTTTCACATTTGTTACTCCTTCCATCTAACAGACAACGACGTATGCTGGAAACCATATTAGTTACAGGGAGGATCATTTGTACAAATCCCGTGCAAAATAATCCCCCCCCCCCCAAATATAAATAGCAATCAACTAATTAGGGTTAGGTGCGCTGGAAATTCAACTTTTCGATTTATCCCTAAACCTAATCTGATAATTATTAATTTGTGATTTTGAACCACTTTGAAAGTCGCCACCCGCTGTTTTAAAAGATAGGTTAACCTACCGTCCCTCCGAAATATCACGCAGGATACTCCCCTGTTTTAGGAGATAGGTTGACCTACTTTCCTTTCAAACTTTTTTCTCCGAAATATTACACAAAATCACTTTGAAAATCCTCCCGTTTCGTGAGCTAGCGTGAGCTAATTTCTCATTTACATTTATATTATACTATTTCAGAGCTTACCCAAACACAAGTAATTTTTAAATGTCGACATGCCTTGGTTTGCGTGCGAGTTAGTTTAAATCAGGCAGAAAACATCATATATTGGCAAAAGGTTTAGTAATGCCATGTACTTTCAGCATTCATAAATAGCACTCTTTGTAATGCTGCTGACCTAGTATCAAATATTCGCATCACAACGCCACTTGCGAGATGACACCAAAGAGTTTTTTTTTGCTAAGGTACACGAAATATAACGAAGGTGATTCTTGAAAAAAAAACATGAATATAAAAAATAAACGAATGATATGATAGTGGATTCCAAATAATTTTGAGAGTGTCTCGAAATTCATTTGATAAATAATTTTTGTTCGACCACATGAACGCTGATATACGCATTCTCAGATATCGGACAGCCAGTCGCGATATTCAATCGTTCATATGCACAAATCTCACATTAATAGTAATTGCTACCCACGTTTGTAAAGTTTAGAAACCAACAAACAGAAAATAACTTATCCTAAAACACAATTAAAATTCAGTCGGCAATAAATTCGTCGCCAAGACGGTGCCATACAAAACAAAAAAGATTTGGTCGCGAGATTTACGTTAGATGACTGCAAACCTGCATGACCTTGTTTTTTAAGCAGAATGTAAAACAATCAAATTAAAAAACGGCAGTTACGACACCATTAACACATTGTGTGTATTAAACTTCCCTGGTAAGTACTTTGGTAAGTACTATTATTTTTGTACTTATACACCTGTCGGAGTATTTCGGACAATTTCGAATTTAAAATTAATGAAAACCCGGACATATAATAAAGACGCAGAGGTAAAATGAACATTTATTGAAAAAGTTATTATTTAAGAAAGACAACATGATCGTACAATTCCGCCCAAACTTCGATGTTCGCAAGTGAGATGATAAATAAATACTTCCATGTATTCGATCAATTAACTTTAGCGTATCGTTGTTCTGCCAACAAACAGCCGGGTGCAAAATATTTCCGTCCTGTGATATGCTCACAAATATTCTCGATATTAATATCATACCCTCGCGTATGTACTTTCTATTAGCTCTTTAGTGATCCCTTCCATCCTTGGCCAAGTCATGTTTCTAATATGTGAACATTTTATTCGACCATACATGGCCGGCGGGATGTTAAAATTGTAAACAAGAGAGAGGTAAAATCAATCGCGAATTTCGTTATAACGCCTCGTTTACGAATTGTTGCGCCTGTTATCGTCGAAAATGATTACATTTGTTGTATTCTGAGGCATTTAAGCAGTAATAATTAGGGCATGACATCATCAAAATCGTCAAGTGAGATCTTGAAATTGCAAATTCCGTAAATAAAATTGTGAATTACTCGGTAACGAATTGAGCTCCAATGACCGTCGGGGTATTGTTTTGTTGAAAATTATAATTAATGTGAGAGCGCCAATAACATACAGTCCATACCGCTGCGACTGCAATTTATATGGCCGCACTTGGTGTGGCGCGTTTATTAATATAGTGTAAAATAAATTAAACGAATATCAATTATAACCAAGCCTGTCAGCGTGTTTATTTTCTGTGGGCAAGAATCGTAAAATACCATTTTGAGACAAATTCACCTCCATTATAAAATCTAATTTTTCAGTTATTATCGTTATACAAATAACGTGTGGCAACTTTTTAATTTATCGTCGACCAAAAAACCGCCCCACAGTCGTCCAAACGTATGTCAAGCTTGACCGACAGGAACAGATTCATGGACGACTTTAATTAGGGAAAATATGTATTTTATCGGGAATGCAAAATAAATGTAACAAAACGCATTTTTTTGTGATATAACTTTGTATTTTCGGAAACGGATTGCCGTGAAAGGTAAAATTTGATCTAAATTAATCGCAAAAATGTTTTATTCTAAATGTAACAAAACACATTTTGCGATATAACCTTGTAATTTCGAAAACGGGTGTCCTGAAAAGTAAAATATGATCTAAATTAATCGCAAAAATGTTTTATTTTAAATGTAACAAAACACATTTTTCGCAATACGACTGTATTTTCGGATACCGGGTGTCATGAAGAGTAAAATATGATCTGAATTAACCGTAAATAATGTTTCATTCCAAATGTATCAAAACGCATTTTTTGCGATATAATTTTGTATTTTCGAAAACGGGGCGTCATGAAATATATTTATCTAATGTTTTATCTATCGTCTAACTAACGTCTGGTACACATCATTTTAGGGGAGAACTCTAGCCCGCGAAACGTCATTTAATAATAGAGAATGTTCCACGCATTCCAAAACGGAAAATCACCAGTAAGTCGACAGGGATTGAACCCTCCGGATTCAGTATTCTATATCCCCGTGTCACAAATTTTTGAAGATTGGAACAAAGAACCCGTCAAACCGCCGCGGAAGAAGGGAAGTATTTTTTGCACTAATAATTAGGGCGTGACATTATCAATATCGTCAAGAAACTGGTGAATTTTCAAATTCCATAAATAAAATTGTGAATTGCTCGGTAACATTTTAGCTATAATTATCGCCGGGATATTGTTTTGTTGAAAACATGTTGAAACTTGAGGGAATTAGTTACAATTAGCGCCTGACCTCTATTAGGCACTCGAGCACTCGAAAAAAAAGCACTCGAGTCCAATCTTTTTAGCATTAAGTCGCTTACGTAAAATATCCTGTAGAGGAAGTGCTGTTCATTAACGTCATCTCGTCTTATGACCACGCAGAAATGCCTTTATTGCCGAATTATTCAATCACTATTTTAAATCAACATTCAGGATTGGCACAATTTCAGATTTGTGAAGTTTATCACCATAGAAAAACATGAGAAAGTTAATTATCGTCTTGATTAATATCAGCATCACGGTATCGACAATAATATTACCATTCGCATAAAATTGGGACCCTAAATTTACAAATCTTGATAGGTAATATTAAAGCCAACGCAAATGTTAATTTGAGTCCTCAATGTCTTCAACAGCTGTTGCCCATGTGAACAAACGGGTAAACCCGAAATATAAAACTTCGATGTCCGCCGACCCGCAAGAATTCATATTTGTAAAAAAGAGAGGGCGGGAATATAGATTAACAAAACCTGTATATCGCCACCAAAACGATCGGTGACAAGAACAATTAGCGATTACAACGGAATTAATCAGTAAGAAGGCTTTGTTGCCGATTTTTTAATGTTTCCACCGACGTTCCAAAAATATTTGTTATTCGGTACTGTTAAAAATATTCAATTCAATAAAATATTGAATTTTGCCCACCCATACTCGCATATCAATGAGAAATAGTTGTGTAAATATCGCAAAATGCCACATGCTTTCAGCAATGTGATTACAATAAAATGGCACTTAATGGTATTTTGTGAATTTGGTGATTTTGCAAATCTGTGACATGCTGCTAAAAGTTTTGAAAATCGTGCACTTTGGTCACAATACATCCAAAGTGACTATAACACTTTACTAACACTTTTATAGTCATTTTGAATTCAACGATATCATTGATAGTCACATGACCCCTCTTGTTCAAAGAAACGCACTGTGTAGTATTCCAACATCTGGTTTCAAAGACGCTGAGCGTTTTTGCGGGAGAAGCGGAATCGGTGTGCTTGTATAATAATCATATTATAAACAAGAATTTTGCAGTTAATGCAAAAGCTTTATCTCCTATGTCTGCATCTCATAGGTTAGAATTCCGGTAAATATCGTTATGATATGCAGAATTGAGTTACAAAAGTACTAGTATGTTACTTATTTGTCACTTTAATACTCGAAAATATTTGTTAACTTTGAATTTTTATTCCATTCAAAATCGGAAAAAAGTGCTATTTCTCTTCAAAATCGGAAAAAAGTGCTATTTCGCAGTCCCTAAAAAAAGTTGCGAAAGTGCTTCGCAATTTTCGCAAAAAAGTGCGCTAATAGTGAACACTGGTAACCAATATGGTCAACTCTGGTTGATGTATTGGTAACATTTAAAGTTTCTTTTTAACCATAAAATTTTTTGCTTTATTTATCTAGCTTGAACTTTTTCTTTTGAATGTGTATGTGACTTAGTGTGTTTTTACCATTCGCTGCACATTATTCATAATTTTTCATTGGGTTCCACTATATTTGTACAGATGAGGATTGGGAACAAGGCGAGGATGAAAAATATTCTTATAAAGCTATGTTGCGTAGAGACCAAGAGAGATGGAAGGTATTGCAGATTTAATATTTATATTATATATTTATCATTATCAGTGATTCAAAAGTCTTGCTGCGCACTAACACAAATTTATTCTGTAACATTTCTTCTGACCAAGGTCTGACTTCCTCATACATTGTCCAATAGGAGGTTTATTCATGATACATATACATAATACATTTCATATCTTGAGTCACTAGTTATGTATGCGAGACCTGTATTTTAGCAAAAGTGGAAATTTTGAACCAAGTAATGTAATTTTAATAAGCATTAACTGGAGTACTTGATAAAATGGCCCGCTCATCGTTTAGCAAATACAGAACGAGACCAAATTTTATGGCCATTTGATAGTTGTAATGTACATAGATTTATTCTGCATATTCTTATATTGGTTTACAATTTTGATTGCTGCGTAGTTAGCATAGGCGCCAGCTGTGCTACCTAGCCATTGTTCATATATTTGAGGATTGGGGTTTTGTTGTTACTCATAGGCTGCTGATGAAGACGGTGATAACAGTTGTACAATTGAAGAATATCAAGCGTTTCTACATCCCGAAGAGTTTGAAAGGATGAAAGATATTGTATTGGATGAAACTATCAATGATATGGATAAAGACCAAGATGGACTTTTGGATCTTGACGAATATATAAGTAAGTAGGCCTACTTTGCTCACTAATTATATAACAGTTAATCAAGGAGCGGGCTGTATATAATTTAGTTAAAAAAATAATTTTAAATGAGGTAAATATTCTCACACTATCTTGACTCAGGGTCTGAACTTATTAGAAAAATTATAAATTTGCTCGCAAATTAGATGTCAGCTAAACAAGGAGCCATTCGTTTTTAGATGTCTGCCTAAAAAATAAAAATACCTACAAATGGTGCAATGGAGTTTCCTATTTTGGATGATTGTTTTACAAGGGTATTGGGCTATTGCCAAGAGACGTAGTTGGGCTCTTGTGGAGTTAGTCTTATTGGTTAGTCAAGTCGCCATAATTATTGCCAATGTTAACTTAAGTTTTATAATTAGAATGTTCCTTCTTGTTATCTTTTGATTAGTTCAGTCAGTGTTATAGTGTTGGCAGCCTTGAGGGCATTTACTCGCCTCTAGTGTGTGTGTGTGTATCTTTGACGTGGCTGTGAATATCTGAATCATTGTTTAATAATGGTTTTAGGCCACGTGTAATATAGTTGTTGGGTTGGCAATGTATAAAACATAGCTTCCTAATAACCAGAAGGAAGGAAATAATTATGCAGTGATATTTTAATAAAATCATTGCCATTAATGTTACAGATCCTGTGTGCAATATAGTTTAACATTTGACAATGTAATATGACTGCTGATATTATATATGTCCCATGGTTGTTGAATGAGTACTTAAAATTGATTCTTATCCTGTTATTCATGAAAAAAAATCTTAATGCATGAACGGAAGGCTGATATTATTAGATATCTTTTTTTTCGAAACACAGTCCTTTGAATGTCTGCCGTTTTGTGTTTGCTAAACAAGCATGAAAACCTCTCAGCTCAGGGTCAAATTGCCACACAGCCAAATGTCCCTGGGATAACAGTATTGCTTGTCTAATTTGGGCTTGTGCTAACATAAACCCATGGGTACCCAAAATGTATTGAAATTGCTTTGTTAAATGAATGCATTTGCCTTTCCTAGGCCAGTTCAGTTTTTCAATATGATTAATTTTGAAATATCCTGATTTCAGTAATCGCGAAATTCCATAAATCTGTATTGATTCCTTAAATTCAAAGTTTACATGAGACATGTTTGACAAAAAGTTCCCTTATTTTCCAGATGATTTGTACAGACCAGAAAATCCAGGTGAAGAAGAACCAGAATGGGTTAGTGTCGAAAGAGATCAATTTATAAAATATCGAGATGCTGATAAAGATGGAAAGTAAGTTGATGGCAAGCCACTAAATCTGATATTTATAATCTTCTATTGCACAAGCTTATTTAGAACATAACATTGGTTACTAAATTCAGACAGAATTCAACTCAAGGATAGGATTTCAATATTTATCCCAAGGGAGAGGGAAGCCGACAAGATGGCTTAGTTATATGGCGAACCCTGGCCTCTCATTCGTTTACCAGTCCTTGGACGTAATGGTAGAAGTCAGATTTGACCAGCAGTTATGTGAACCACCCTAATTGGGCGAAGGAGACCAGCAATCCTCCTTCACATAATTCTATCCCCACAGGATTCGAACCGGCTAATTTATTTATATTAGCTGTAATGTGAGAATTTGAATTAGTTTCTGGTGAACGTTGGTTGCGCTTACTGAACGATTGATTGTTTGGAATAATTGAATCTACATTAAGTAGTCTCAGTCGTTAATGTTCAACAAAAAAAGTTTTGACATATTCATTAAAATTGATTTTTATAAACCAGTAAAAGTATGGTATAGTTACTTTACTGTAAGTATTCCCGAAATAGTCGTATCTTTTTTAATGAAAACATTGGGAAGTTTTCTTGAAATCAAAATAATTGACTTTTTTCATGTTTTTGTTTCAGATTAAACAGGCTCGAAGTTCGTCGTTGGATTCTTCCAGAAGATTATAATCATGCACAGGCCGAAGCTCAGCATTTACTTCATGAAAGTGATGATGATAAAGTAGGCTTCATTGTTTGACATTTTTAAATGCTTATTCATTTTTTTTCTCTGAACAAGGCCCTGTACAAGCAGCCACTGATATCTATCGATACGTCAAGATATGTCAAGATTGATAGATTGTTCTGTTAGTGTGAGACTTAGCACTGCCAGAGAAAAAGCGTTATTAGGGAATAATTGGCTCATTCTATTTGATGGTAGTTTCAATTTCTCGTTACAGGATGAAAAGTTGTCCAAAGAAGAGATGTTAGAGCATCAAGATGTTTTTGTTGGATCGCAAGCCACAGAATGGGGTGAAATGATGAATCGTCATGACGAATTTTGATTTAACTTTATAGAAGGATTGACAGTGTTATAGAAAATTTTCAGACTGATCACTAGACTTGACACAAATGGGTCTCGCAATGAAAAATCCGTAAATCTATCATGTTCATCGTTCACAGATATCAATCCTGTGTTTTTTCTTATTTTTGATAGTTTTCTAGATAATTCAAGGTTGGTTGTATGACACTAGAAAGGCATAAATATTGCAACTGGGAGTTGGTTATTCGTTTTCCATGTTTAAATAGTTGACTGTTTTCTCAAGTTATGTTCAGCAGTTCGCTATGATTTTGAAATATTTAAAAAAGCATAGAGCGAGATAGCAATATATATTTGATTTTTTTTTGTTAAATGCATGAAATGAGAGGCATTTTGAAATTAGGAAAATTATCGATTTTTCTGTACTACATTCTTTATCTGTATTATTGTTTTTTGGTTGAAATTCTGCTAAATTACATTTTACACTCTCTTTGTATAGGTTGATAATATATTTCCCTTTTATGGTCTGTCAGGTTTAGGTCCACATTTATCTTTGTGACAATTAAAAATTGCTTGCTGCCATCATTTGTTTCCAAGTGTAATTCTATTTAAGACTGCCTTATTTATTCCTCAAGTGACTGATGAATATATAAACAAAAATAGTTTTCAATTCAAAAAGTATTTTGAATCTACAGTTATGTGCCATTGCTTAAATGAAAGGTTCAAAGAAGCTTCTTTTATTTTGAAATTTAGCCTATTTTAATAATCACTTGACTTTTCATTTAATTTCAATCAAAATTCTGTTGGAATATATTTATATCTATATTCTGTTAATATCCCAACAGTAGGCAATATCATTTCTTATTACAATGTGTTACAATTATCTTCCTAATATACTACCCATACTTTATACGTAGCCTATCTCACTTTTGGCTCGTGGATTTGACTTTAAATAATTGTTCTGGGCTCCAAGACATCTGAATGAATTTAGCCCTAGTGCTGATTGTTGGGTAATTCAATCGATCAGAGAGCGTTAATAATTAGTAAAATTGGAGCATTTTTTGGTTTCTTTTGCTTAATTTTCCTGAGCTAATTAATATTGTGTAAATAGAAAGATAAAAATGGGAACAGTATATTGCAATCATTTATGTGAAATGCTATGCTATTTATCATATAGCCATGACATTTTATGCCATGCCATTTATGGCTCCATGCTTTTGTACTTTATGGAATTCATAAAAAATTGTCCTCGACTCATCATATTTTATTATTCTGATTTGAATCAATATTTTCAATCCATCTACTTCTTAGTTTTCATTCTATAACTTCTGTGAACATGTCACCCATTTGCAAAAAAATTTGAAGCGTTTCTATCTACATTCATTCTTTGAAATTCTGTATGAGCTGATGATATAAGTTTCAATTTAATCAAATAATCATTTTCATTTATCATTATAGCATTTAACACAAGTGTTGACAAAATCTAAAGTATGAAGCATATCTCATTTATCTTTTTTTACCTTTACCTACTCTATAAAAATAAAGAAATAATCCATCATCAGCCCCAGTGCTGTAGATGACTTCTAATTGAACTTTCAATATTTGTAACTTTTTTCGAATAACTGCATTACCTATCATTTGTAATTATGTTTCCTAGAACATGATATTTTAGGGTGATTCTCTAATTATCCGAATTATCAAAAACAAGTTTCATGGCCCGTTTTCAACACTATTTAAACTCAAGGTCTTAAGATCAGTTCTTATGATTATGTGGTATATTGTTGATAGATTTTTTATAAAAACGACATTGTTCTCAACATGCACAATTTACAATAAAAAAATTGGCGTACATTCTAACCCTTTTTTTTCGTTCTATTTCCCAGCATAAAATTTTCATTGTTCTGATTGAATAACAATGAAATCTATACTTGTTTCATATTTTACATTTTTTATAATATTATTCATCTGGTGTCATATAGTTATTCAGTATATTATATTAGAATCTTTGAACATAAGTCTGAAATATTTTTTTTTAATTATCCAGCTCAACTCTATGTTTTCCCAGGTGTGACAAAACAGCCATATACACTTGACAGCATTTTAGTAGTTAGTCTGTTAGCATATTTATGCTTCATACCTATCTTTCATGCATTGTTGCAACTGAAGCTTGCCATAAGTTAGGTTGTCACTTATCTCGTCCATAAAATTTTTGTTTAATTAAAGAAAAACTTTGATTTTTCACAGTTGGGTAAAGTATAACCAATAATTTTAAACCATTGCAAATCAAATCAATCTGTTGTTAACTTTTGTTTATGCTTATTCACATTCATCTTATGTGCCAATTTCATTCTATCGTGAATAAATTCACTTATTACACAGCAATTTAGTTTCTTTATCAAGATTTTACTATATAGTTGTACAATATAGTGTAGATGTACATCTGTTGCATTGTAGTTAGCTAACTAACCATCGCATATTGATAGTGGGTTGTGCATTTTAAAATACTTGACGATTTCAGAAACGAATCGAATATTTTTTTGAATCGAATTTCAAATACTTGGAAGATATGTGATTTATTGTTATGGATCCTCCAGGCACATAAATTACTCGAACAATTTGTTGAGTGTTCACACACCATAAAAATATGTTATTGATAACTCTGTAAAAAAGAAATCATATGACAGAATTTATTTTTAAAATTATGGCTTCAATAAAATAATTGAGTGATTCACCTCTTCCCTCGGCGGACAAAATAACAAGATGGCAAAATTTTGCCTCAACCGGTTTGAATCATTTCCTAGATGATTGCAAATGCCCAGCCGTTACTGATAGTAGTATAGTTGGAAATCATGGGGGGGATATATGACTGGACATTAGGATATGTTGAGCCTATGGTTGGTGTTCGCAAGTGCAGAAAACATGTAACTTTTCTACGGTGTGTAATTTCATTCAAAGAGATTGGGTAGATATGGATTGTGCAAGTTTTCAAATTTGAATAAATGTAGTCCTTGGCAGTAAGATAATTTCGATTTAGCACCATTTAATTTTTTCTTCTATTCAATTGCAGCCTTTTTTCAATCCTTTTAATTTTATATAATTTTGCATGTTCTTATTTCAGTTCTTTAATTTTGATAATTTGATTAAATCTTTGTGATGAGTTTGTTGGTGCAATATTTTCTTCTCTGTATACTTGTTATATCTTCCTCTGCGAATTTAAATTTGAAAGTGATTGGACCGAAACCAAGTGACCAACAACCAGGATCAAAAGGATATGACCATGATGCTTTTCTCGGAAAAGAAACAGCTAAAAAGTTTGAGGAGTTGTCCGGTGAAGAAAGCAGAAGAAGGCTTGGGTGAGATTGAAGAATATTGATTTTTGGGGTTGTTGGCAATTAATATTTCCCGGTTTTCAGAAAAAATTCAAGATGGGTTCTACTTTTTATGGTTGCTAATGATTCTGAAGTACCCCATCCCCGTTTATTTTTGCTTCTTCTACTCAGTTAGAGACAACTTTTAAAAAAGTGTCTTTTCAAAAGTTGTCGTAACCTTACTGAACATCCTATTTTATTTGTTCTTGTCATTCCTTTTCAGGATTATTTTTGATAAGATCGACACTGATCATGATGGAATAATCAATGAGGGAGAGATGGAAAAATGGATCGGAATTACACAAAAACGTCATATTGAAGAAGATACTGAGAAGAAAATGAAAAGATATGATGTCGATGGAGATAGGAAAATTAAATGGGACGAATATTATCGTACCACTTTTGGAGGTCTTAAAAGTAAGTATACTGCTTTAATAATTTTAATTTGAAAAATGATGAGACTTGTAATAATCATTGTAGAGTAAACAGATGTTGATAAGAGCTTGTTCTGTTTCAGCCGATGAAGATTGGAAATTTGGGGAAGAGGAGGGATTCAGTTACAAAGACATGCATAAAAGAGATAGGAAAAGATGGGAGGTGAGAATTATGTGATTGTATTGTATTCTGAATACTAGTCAAGTATTTGCTTGAATTGTATCCCTAGTATTGATGGGCTGAAGAGGATTATTATAGTTTTTTCGGTTCTCCTGAAGTATGCGCGCCAAGATGTCGCACAACCTGAACCCTAACCTTGTACACAACCTGAGTTCAGGTTGTGCGCCATCTTGGTGCGCATACTTCAGGAGGTCCGTTTTTTCTTTCTATGCAATGTGAGTTATGGTTGTTGAGCAGAGATATTTTATAGAAGTTCATGTAGCAGGAAAATTTCTATCTAATTGATATCAACTGTAGCCATTACAGTTACAAAGTTTCAAATCATTAGCACATTTTTTTTGCTTGTGTTTTCCATAATTTGAGCGTGTAGATGTTTTAAATATTACTTTGTATCTGTGATACTAAGTGTAAAGAATATTCTTCAACTCTAAATAGGTTGCTGACTTGGATGATGATGATCATTGCACAAAGACTGAACTCACCGCATTCATTCATCCTCAAGACTTTGATCACATGAGAGAAATTGTTTTTGAAGAAACCATGGCCGATATTGATAGGAATGGTGATGGTTTCTTGGATTTGGAAGAATATATAAGTGAGTTAACTCATTTGCATATTTTAAGTTTGCGAAGAAGTTTAATTTTATGTTTTTTGACTGGTTTTCTAATTGAGTAGACAGCATTAAATATTTAACTTTGCCAGTCAAATTTAAAAATTATATTATTTTAGGCGAGCATGTACTTTATCGCATTTTGTTAATCTTTCCAACCTGAAATTTTGAGAGTAAGAATCTGCTTCCACAAGACCATGAAAGTAACATATTTGTGGATTGTCAGATTGGATTTCTAATTATAACTATATGCAGACGACGTCTACAAACCTGAGACAAAGGGAGAAGCAGAACCTGACTGGGTAGCAACAGAAAGAGAACAATTTGTAAACCAGAGAGATAAAGATCAAGATGGGAGGTAATTGGTTTCATTTCTATTTTAATTCAAACTCTTAATTAAATGCCTGGAAGGTACCTCAAAAATGTGCTTTATAGACATATCTCGTCCAGAGCTGTGCTCAGATAGGTAGACCACAATGGTGTATACTGATTAATGAGCATTAGGATTCATCTTAACCTAAGGCCTCCAGCCATCCACATATATATATATTATGCCAGATTAGAAAAGCATAACACGAAATTTTATTCTTAGTTATAAAAAGCATCGTTTACAATGGCATGACTTGCATTTTTTTATTTTTTGTGGCCCTTTTTTAAAAATCTTTGTGGTGAAGTTGCATTTATATACTGATTTTCAGGAAAAAAGGCTCAGCTGTTTCTGTTTATAATTCGCCTTTATTTTGAATCATTGTTACTTATCGATCTTAAGATCGGTAAGTATGTTGATAGGTATTTGTCTGTCTGTCTGTATGTCTGTTTGTTTGTCTGTTAGATGACCGCGATATCTCACGAAGGCGAGGTTGAATCTGCTCCAAATTTTGCATGTGCATTCAGCATATCTCGGACCAGAAGCCTAGTGATTTTGGATGAATTATGTCGTATAATTAGCAGTTATTAATTAATTAGTGATGGGACACGCGGTGTCACTATAGAGTCATGAATCGAAACCACACTTTCGATCGATAAGTCTTCGGTCTCTGACCGATATTGCCGTTTTAATTATTGATGCCATTTACTTGTATGCTGTAGACTTAACGAAGAAGAAGTTCGGGCCTGGATCATGCCCAGTGATTACAATTATGCTCTGGCTGAAGCAAAACATCTCATTTATGAAAGCGACAGTGATCAGGTAATTGTTTTATTTCTTATTTATTTCTTTAATTTTTATTTACATACAATGTGTTGCCAGAAACGCACTAATGCTAATCGTCACAAGATTCAAATCAGTGTAATCTGTATATTGAAGTATCACGTCTGAATCGAAAGCCAATCCAAGATAAATACAGGTAAATGCTTAATTTAATGATATTGTATTTTTTTTTATCATAAGCTTATTTTTCAGGATGGCGTTTTAACGAAGCAGGAAGTCGTTGATCACCACGATGTCTTCGTTGGATCTCAAGCAACACAATGGGGAGAAATATTCAATCGCCATGATGAGTTTTAGGTGTTGTCGACTGTCTAACCTTACTATTAAATCAATACAACATTTGCACACAAGTTTAAATATTCCAAAGAAGCAGTTTGATGCAATAATTACAATATGAAGCAATTTTTTATCTGTTCAGTTCTTGCCTTTGATGTACTTAATGTAAGACATATATGTGTTGAATCATAACTGTTAAATCAATCATGTATTTGAGCCCCGTTTCAAAAACTGTCATTTTATTTTTACCTATTTTGGTAGATTTACCACTGTAGTATGTACATTTTGAAGGTATTTTTTCACTCATTTTAAGTCGCGAATAGTATCTGGTGATAGGTTGGTGATTGCCATAATGCCTGTGAGGATGGACATGTATGGAACGTTGTCATGTACGATTTGATCATTACTATATTTTGGTCAGTTGTTGTTAAAAAAGGCTGTCAACTTCCTCTACATCATATATTTGATGTTTAATGAAGTATCCCAATTACAATTAGTGATCTTTTCATATACCATAAACTGTTATGTTTCCATATGTCCAATTTTTCTTCAAAAAGTCCATATTTTTTAAAAAGGTATACAGTCACAAAGTCTCACTTGCAGTTAGTTTCTTGCTTTCTCATTTCTTCAATTGATTATTGTTGGTGTTCATTACAATCATATGTGGTATATCTAGGTAGGTTACATTTTTCATTTTATTAGGATTAGTTGCAATAAATTCATCTTGTTAGCTTGGACTTATGTGGTGCAGACACACTGAAAACTGTTCAGTTTATTACCAGTAACTTTGATAGGGCAGAATTTACATATTTATCCCGGGGAAGAGAAAAGCCGATAAGACTGCTTCAATCATATCCACGCACGCAAGGTAATCCGAGGTGGCAAGGTAATCAGAGGTGCTGTGACGAGCGTATTTTTAACGCTTGGCGCGATGCGCCACATCGCCGAGCAGTATAATACTTTATGAAGCCGTTGGGCCCAGTGAACCGCGGCAAAACTTTGTCTGTAATAATTGCAATTCATTTGGAGCTGTGACAATATTGAATTATTTGCTAGAAATGAATCAAAAATGCCGAGTGAGACTGCAATGCACTGAATAGAATCCATTCTCGAGACTTGATCACACAATTTACCGTGTTTCAGAAAATTTGTTCTGCAGTAAAAACAAAAATAGGCACAGTGCTACATCCTGTATTCGAAACGTGACATATTTTTCAATGTATTCATATCGCTATATAACCCTATCTATGTCCTCTATGTCAATAGCCATCATATATATTGAATATTATCCAGCAATACTTCCAATAGGTAGTAGCCGATTGCTTTGGCGCGCTATCGTTAAGTTCGTTGTATGCTTAAGTCGCGAGACGCTCATGTTGGAAGCGAGCTAGCCTTTTCTTTAATAAAAATACCAAACGCATCTCTGAGCATAGCCGATGCCTTATCGAAAGTACATCGCCGATGAGGATGCATTTGATTCATACAAATGCAAACATCTTTGAATATCTTTCCAACATTCGTAGATTCTTTGAATAACCTAAAACAATAATGTATATCTGTGTGTTGCTGAATATTAAATATAACATGGCATATATATTGGCATTCAGACCTGATGACAATTTTTGTAAAATGGCTCATTGAGCACTGAACGATGATGTTTCAGAAAGTGTACACCTCACGATTTAAAAGTGTTGTTCTAAATCTATTCGATTGATAATATATGTTCTAAAACAGGACTACTCAACTGGCGGACCGCGGTCCGAATCCGCACCTTTCGGATATTCGATTCGGACTGCGTATAATTCTTTATTTTGGATCATTAGCCCCACTTTTGAAATTTCTTTTTATAAAATCCCTTTTATAGATTTAAAAATATATATGAAAATCTTACAATCTTGACAATCTTATCATTAGTCGGCCGAGGAATTAAGGATGCCGAAATATAATTTCTGGGAAGTCTGGACCCAAATATGTTTAAATTTTTGTATGCGGACCTTCGGTAAAAATAGTTGAGTAGTCCTGTTCTAGAAGAACGATCATATAACGCCAACGTGTACGGATTCGGATCGTTAATTGGCCCCCGATATAGAAAATGCTGAACTATAAAGTAATCGGATGTATAACAATTGACATCCCGCCTTTAGTTAATAGTTCATCAATAACTAAACTACATTGTGATAGTGAAAATGTAATAGTTGGATCATGCGCGGTATACTTTAAAAAACGATAAAACAATATAGTATATTCTTACGTTGATAGTCTGCATATGTACCAATTTGCGACACCGCAAGTGTGAAGTTCTGTTCCAAATCCTCGGCATTCATTGTCTTCACATATTCCAGTAAGATCTCTACAGTTTTTATAAATTCGCATGTTTAGCGAGAAATCTATCCACAAATTTCCTGAAGGTTTTGGACAGTGATCGTCAGAGTTGCACGAAACCTGAAAACGGAGCGTCCGTTGAATATTATATAGTTCTTGCTTCTGCTGAAGCGCCACACCACGAACATTTTATATATTATACCTACTTTTCTCAAACATTAATTTGTGATTGCGTTTGTATCAAAATTGTATATCGGAATTGGTTTGAGCGTGAGTTTGAAATGAACTTTTTGGCAGCATGACCATAGTCATACATTGTTTACATTCAACGTTATCATGTTCAATGAATAATTTTACTTTTAAACTCCAGAAGTCAAAATCATTCATGCTTACTTTCGAATAAATCCTAGAATCGTTGTAGAACACTAATGAGTCAGCATCGACCATATACAGTTGCCAATCTGTCGTCATCATAAAATTAAGACCAGAAACATCTTCCATGAATAAATGCCTTTCCTCTGTAACACATATACAACGTAGTTATTAGGACTGTGGAATATTTTTGCAGCAATCATATAATTACCATAAAATAGAATTGATAATTTACCTAATTGTTTGAAAAACGACGTGGTACTATAAGCAAATGTTAAAGCTGATAAATGAGGATTTGGATCTGCTTGTACGAGATCCATGATGTGATTTCCCAACGCGCATTCTGGAGATGTGCCGTTATCATTACATAGAGTCAAACCGTTTACTCTTTCGACAAGATACCTTAAAATAATATTAATAGAGTTTGAGTCAATGATTAGACTTTGTTTTAGCCTACATGGTATTATTCATACCTTATTCTTAATTCCTCTACACAAGATCCAAGTAAGCGAGGAATTCCTCTCAATCCACGAAGTCTTCTCAGATACGTGATTTCCCTTTGTGCAGAATTGTACTTGTATTCTTCTACCACCGTTCGGTATAATCTGTAATGCAAAAAAATCCTTCTACAAAAGTTCAGAATATAATATTGGGACAGTTTTATTGTTCATATTCAGTATTGTCATTATTCAATTATATGTACTTGAGAATTTAGAATTTAATCTACATGCAAACATTATCTCGATTATTACATCGTACACCATCAGTTCGTACTTTTGTATGAGTTTATTCAACAGAACATTAAAAAATTGTAATCTATTCTTCACGATACGCAATCCCTTAAATAAATACATCACATGCCTTCTATTCAACACTTTCACTCTAATGTAAAAACCACTTCATTCATTCACACTTGTAGAACGTAGAAAAGTCACGAATCAAGATATGAGCGCAAATTCACATTTGCAATAACACCAATTTCAAAAATAAAATGTGTTTAATAATAAACCACCACACCACAAAAATACGCCGAAGAAATATTAATTACAGAGTATTTTCTTTTACTACACGATCTTTGCTGTCAAATCTGCAAAATCAAATTGTTAGTATTGTTAGTGTTTCACCGAAAATATGAAGCTAAATTACATACAAAATTCGGATTGAATGTTACAAAATTGGAAACGAACACACGGCCGATTTTTTTTTCTTTTTTCCTAATATATGGAGATTTGACAAATGCCAAACAAATTTTGTGCAAAGTTATGTTTTTCTGTTCTTAGAAAGCTCAATGTTTCGAATTCCGTCAAGTCAGCTCAATTAAAGTTTGAATCAGAAAAAATATAAAAAAAAAAATAATTAGTGATTCATGACATTTTGTCGAAGTGACAAATGTTTTTCGGGCCACTGTAATTTTGCCAAACCATGCGTTGCTGAATTAAAATGTGGCAACACCATTATATTTCATCCAGCTGGTTAGGTTATGTAAGCGGTGAGTATTACCGTTGTCGGGTTTCTTATTTTAGCGTTAGTCAGAAAGTCGTTATTGGTTATTTGACATAGAAAGTAAACCAAAAATTACAAACTTTGTGACGAAGAATTGTACAATACATGGCAGAATTGGAGTGTCGTTTTTCGTTACACTTAGAACGGGTGCAGTGTACAGTATAATTTGGTTCCAATTTAATAATTTTGTTGTAATTCATACCAATTCAGAGTCACAAAATTTGATGGTTAGTAATCAATACGCCCCATAGTAAAATTGATATTTACGATGCGTTCTGGTATGCTTGCCAGTTTAATATGTGGCCCTTATGGACGTATCTCCTGTAATACATTACATGTGACAATTTTATATCAAATCTGTACTGTACACTGCTTCGAGTCGGCCACAGACCGCGACCAGAGGGAAAATAGTGATTTACCTAAGCAAACGCGTAGTTCAGTAATATGAAGTTTTTAGAAAACCCGAATATGGTACCTCAGGCAATCTAGTAGAGTAGGCTAAAAGCTTACATCAGTTTCACATTTAAAAGATGGAATCACGGAGCTTTCTGCATACCTGTTTGCTTCTTTCATGACTGCCGGTATTGTAATACCATTTATCCTCACTTTTATGAAAGATATTCCCCTGTTTCCCCTTAGATTTTCTTCGACTTCCTTACGTGTTCTTGGGATTCTGTCAAAATCTGAACATCCGAAGTAATCCGTCTTATCTTCCACCTCATTTATTGATTCATCCGGCAGTTCTCCTTTAGAAACGGCCTCAAGGTCTGCTTCTATTATATCCAGCCTATATTTCTTTTTGGCTTCAGTTTTGGATTCCTCTACAGTTTCCCTTGCTCTTTGAGTTCCTTCATCTATATTCAATTTTTCACCTTCAGAATTTATACTGCGTGCTAATACGTGTCTCGAAGCGGCTTCACGACCATATTTGTAGCACTGCTGACGATGATTGAGTCCCAGAAAAATTTGCACGGTTACATGTGAAGTGTATATAAGACAAGTTATCGTTACGATGGTGGCTATCAATCGACGTTGCTTCAGAAGAACATTCATTTTTGATTTGATTACTAATAAGCTTTCTTTGAATGAAGCAACCGATCCTTATGCCTATTTATGAATCATGTAACAGTTTATATACATATATAAACAAAACTATATTAGTTAAGTAATCCAAGACTGTACAAAACACGACTGTTAGGTTTGATGCAAATCATAGTAACACTATAAGGCGTATGGGCGACGAAAGATAGCAAATTCTAAATTTCTTGTGTTGCAAATCACATTTTCACATAAATGAATACATCAGATTACTGACATTTCGAACGGCATACATATGCGAGTAATATATGTAAGTAAAATTCATTTCCACAGAACCGTGACATCTTTACAAAACACTATAAAACTTAACTCCGACTATGTAATGTTGGTTTGACGCAAACGCATTTCTTGCTCCTACAATGACTAAATTTTTTTATCAAGTCGCTTACTGTATCTAACGCAGGACTTGCGAGTGATTGTAGAACGTCACTTGCAATGCCCTGGGGGTGCCACGTAAATATCGGTGCTCATTAAATTACCTTGATATTTGATAACATATTGTGAATTAACAGTATGTTAAAACTAAACGCAGGTTTATAGATATTATGGAATGAATGCAATATTACCGTTATATATATTTATTTATATGTAATACACGCATCCTGAATTTGTCTTCAAAACCAACAGTATATATTCCTCAAGCTGGTGCTCTAAAGTTCATGTTGTCCGTTTAACCAACCTTACAATGTACATGAGTATATAGAATTGTATTGTAGCTGTTGTTGGAAAAACGTTTCCTGTATTTCAACAGATTCACTTGGCAAGGAGTACCCTAATCTTTATTCATTTTCTGACCATACTCAACAGCAATTAATCATGGTCATTGTTCCAGCTGAAGTAATTACTAGCGATAATTGATTAGGTGTTTTAAAAGAGCAGATAAAATAACCACTTGCAGGTTTTCAACTGACATATTTTAATATGAGCATTTTCTCTGGATGAATGCGAACATACCCTTTCCCAAGTTAGCATTAGGACGTAGAATAATTTCTTGGTAACAGATAATGTGGAAAATTATTGCACCATATATATATAGGCTTCTTGAATCCCAAAATTGGGCGCCTTTCATTTGCTACTTCTAGCCTATTAAAAGTCGAATAGGATCTGTAATTTTCAGTGTTGTTCATGTCTGGTAAGTACAAGCAGACAACGATTGTTTGACATGTCAGCTTATTTATTCCTAAACACATCGAATCTACTATTTTGAAAACATTTACATAATAAACTTGAACTACATAGTGTGGAAATGGAACTTTTATGACATGAATACTATAAATTGACAATATTATATGAAACCTTCAATCTAAAATAGATATTATGAAAATGATTGCAGGTCAGATAAAAATTGGCGCCTGTACACGGGGGACCTATAGAGGGCGTGGAGAATAGGGAAAAAAATAAACAGGAAAACTAAGATAAATATTCTTACCACAATAGAGAAACTTTTATGAATGCATTTTATACCCAGATAAAATTTCGTGATTTGTGTAATCAATTTAAGATGAACGATTCTAAATATTTGTTTTTTTGCATTTGTCGATAAGTCGAAACTACATTGCGTTATCAAATCCCTTCGAATCAATATTCCCTTCTTACAATATAAACCTAGATTTCAATCAGAAACACGATTAAACTTCTTTTTTTAAATATGCCAAGATTTCTATTTTAATTCTAACTAAAACCGCTTTCACTTACAAATACAAAAGTTGAAAAAATGAGTAAATTCTGAGTTTTGTTGTATAAAAATTTATGCTTCTTCTGGTGGACTTGTGGGAGCTTTTCCATTTGTAGCCTCTGCATTTCCATCGCTTGGCGAAGAAGGTTGCACAGGAGATTTTTTACACTAGATCAATAAGTCAATATGATTATAGGATGATTGTGGGTAATTCTAAAACGGTGTCAGGTATTGCAATTTTGCAATATTGAGCATAGAATAAGCGGTTTGTTGTTTATAAACATAGACATCTGCGATAATACAAACAATTCAAGGCGCAGCATTACACCATTTTTTCGTTAAAGCAATATTGATAAATAATTTGCAATGACCCATTTTTATTCACTGATTCATGCCTTCACTAGAAGTAAGACTGTAAAGAAGTAGCCAATAAAATATGTCTCTGGAGTCAAAGAGCACTTTCGTTCGACCCCAGACTTTAAAGAATTTATTCTTGATTTGAGGAAAATTTGAAATCCGAATTCAAAAAAATTTGGATTGGACTCCAGAATAACAACATTATAGATAAAAAATAAATCAGGAGTGTACCGCCTAGGAGTGTTTTTTGTTTCTGGTCTATATTCTGGATTATAGGTATGATTATAGCAATAGAAGACCGTGGGCGCGATTATCAGGTCAATACGACGAGTCCATCATAGCTTTTTTAAATTACTCTTCCAGCAATAAAATACTTATATGTATTTGATGGAATGAAAAAAGGTATATCTTGCGATGGAAATTGGGATTCATGAACAAATAATTTTAGATAAAAAAGGTTTTATTAGCTTACCGAAGATAAAACCATTTTCAATATTGTTCCCATCAATCCTAGCATTGCCGCACCCGCGCATGCACCTGCTATTGCCCTTTCTAATGTCGACCATTCATCAAATACAGACGTAGGACAATCGCTTCCGGTTTTATAAAGTTGAAATGATCCGTCTAATTCAGGAACTGAAACGCACAGATATTACATAACTGCACCAATAGTGAAATAACCAAAAATTACTATTAGTTTTGAATAATAGCCGTAACATATTATGGATAAGAGAGTAAATGAAGTACATTGCCTGGTTTTGAGTCAGAATCTAGAACTTTTTACTTGTCATATTATTTAAACAGTATGTACAATATGGAAATTCATTATAGACTCATATTAATAGTGGAGTAAGAAAAACTAGCAAGTTTCATTTTGGTATCATGTGGCCTATTATACAAAACGAATAATGCTATTTATTCCTTCATATAATGATTAAGATCTTCCATTTTCGAGTATACTCACTTTTTGGCAAATAAAAACAGACATATAACGTTGCATTGTCCACTACTTCATCTGGGCCTGTCACGACCTCGGGACATTCAGACGCAGCGCACCTATGATGTATAGAGTAAAATGAATGCGTAAATTTTGGGCTATAAACTAATTTCGATTGCACAAACTCTTATTTTGACGTTAAAGAGCCTTGAATAGTAAGAAACCTCCACAAACAATTATGGCCATTAGGACTAAAGCAGAATTTCGATACTGGTATGCAGACAATTACAATTTATTACACTTCAAAATATAATGAGTTTACTCCAACCAACAGCGCTTCGATCTAATAATCATAACATGACCTAGGGCCGTGTGAGTAAAAATGATTGGGTTTAATTACCAATTTCCCGGATCAAATCAGTACAAGTGGGATGTGATCTCTGAAACATTGTAAAAATTCATACCCCATTCTCGTTGTTTCACTATATGCCATTTGAGCAAACCGCATACAAAATTCGCTGCAAGTCCCGTTTTCATATGTGAAAAAACTTCTCTCGTTTAAAAAATTCATAACAGCAGAATAATGGAAGTCATCTGACCACGCTGCCGATGCCAATAGGAAACTCTAAAATAATTAGGAAATGCTTGATTAGGACAAATTATTTTTAATAATTGAATAGTTTGAGATCGCAAAACGTTTTTGCTTACATTGAAGCAATCGGGGACAAAACTTTATCGAAATTGTCTTTGTGAATTAGAGGCTGGAACCAGCTATGATGTCACAATTTTGTGATGTGATGGCAAAGCTCCTTGGTGAATTGTCTTTTGATAGTAACAATTGTTCTAAAGGAATACAGAATACTAAACTATGGAGTCGTTTTCTTTTCAGATTATCCAATTCAAATAGGCACTAGCTATCATACAGTCAATATGACAGCATTACATCACAAAAATATGATTTTTTAAACTGAATTACCTGACCGGCTTCTGTCCACAAATCGGTCCTCGTGTCCTCTTTATACTTATAAATACAATTCCTAGAATAATTTGCAGCGTATTTAGCAAGATCCTCATCCCACGTGATATCTTTCATGTTACAAGCAGGAGGAGTCATATTTTGAGATCGGAATTTATTATGAGAATAGATAGCAGCCTCGCGGTCCTTCTGTATATAAACAAATTTTTCATTAAGAGTTAGAAATATCGTGACTGTTGTGTGGATCATATTTTGTCATTGTCAACGCGTACTACTTCTATATCTAAATTGTGTGTGATATCTAAACATAATTAATTCCTCTTAAGAATAACGCTGCCTCTAATAAATATTTAGAACAGCACGCGTAAAAAATGGCTTTTTTATATATTATATTATCTTTTCTATTATGTGATTTTATTTATTTCTTGCGCACTTCAAACTTAGTAAAACATTCACAAGAGATATTACAATGTTACAAATGTCTGTTCTTTATTAATAATCACCTTACCTCAGTAAAATCAATACTTTTTCCTTTTTCAACTTCCATCTGTCCCATTATTTGAAGTAATCGTATACAAAATGTGAGAATAATTATTATTCGTCTACAAGAATTAGTCATCTTAACCCTTATCTATATTTACAATCCATATACAAACTGCCTGAAACATACCAATCGATCTGACCATTATTCACTTAAATTTACAAAACCTTTTTTGCTTGAAAGCACCATTATGAAAATCCGAGTTTTTTATCGTTTTGGCGAGACAAAGTAAACATCTCTTATCAATTACTTATTACATTCCCACATCACAGTAAATCTGTTACCAAACTCAAATACTTTATTGCATTTCTACACAACTTAATTCCAACCCCGACTGGGTCACCTTGCTTTGAGCGTCTGAACGATGTGTGTAATACTCAACAAACTTGGACCAAATATCACTCTGATATTCGAGAATTTGATCATTTTGTTTACTTTATGTTGCATGTCGACGAACTCTTGTTTACGGAGTTAAATTAAACCACCGCCTCCTCTCCCCTCCTACGTGTTATTGCCTGACGGAAATGGTAAACTTTGTAACTGGGTATTAAATGTTTTGAATTCAACTTAATAAAAATTATTTTTACCTATTTCACGAATTCATAGTTAATCCAAGATCACCCACTACCTTGCCTATATATAGCGTAAAACGTCTGTCCGGCCTAGCAATGCTATTTGTCTTCTTTGATGCTTATTGGGAGTTTTCCCAAACCTTTTATTTCACATATTTGTAAATATATATGTTTACTACTTTTTTGACTTCCTTCGACTATTCAAATTTTTGATTGTAATTTTATTTCTGCAATACAAGAATTCCATAAACATGTTACGTTAACATGTACAGTTTATTATTTTGTAACTCCCGTTATACTGGGTTTTTAAAAAGTTATTTCTCTCATTTTTAAAAACTGATTTCGTTGTGAGCAAGTTTACATTATAAAAATAATGCAAAGAGATCGTTAAACATATTTTGTTGCTTAAAATTGCAAATAAATAAATTCAAATATTATTATACCGTTCACAATGCTTCCTTAACTTTCTACACCTATCAACATTTACTAGAGCCCAACATATAGATTCCTCTGATGGTGCAATACACACCCATGTCAATTCCTAAATATAATAGTCTTTGTCCAATCTCACATAAGGTATTTGTGCCCCCACACTTCACATTGCATTTTATAGATTGTTAAATAGGAAACAAATTTTCAATTGTCTCTTATGTTAGATACAAGTGCACTTCGGTGTGATTTGATATCATCAACTCTTTTCTGATGTTATTAACTTCATTACAGATTTAACAGGTTTCAAATATATTATTATGACGTATGTCAGCCTGCTGTTGTCACATTTTCAAACGAACATTTGCGTCGACAGTCAAACGTAATCAAATCTGCGCTATTATTGGCACTTACCTAAGAACACAACAATTTGGGTTATTGTTTACTTATGAACGTGTTCGATTAACGGAATCGGGTTGTGACGGAAATAGTTTAATCTAAGAAGGATGAGGGCTCGATAATTGCTCTGTTTCATATCAAATGATTTTTCCGCAACCAAATTAAACTGAAATAAGAAGTTCCATAGCGTTTGACGCAATCCAGAAAGAACTGTTTTACATCCAGAATACATTTTTAAGTATTGTAATTTGTATTGGAACTCCATATACTCAAATGATACTCTATTTTCTATCAGTAGTATATGTCACTTAATTAGTTAAGATAACGGGATTCAAATTAGCTTTAATAAGGACAAACTGATGCGTTAATCGTGTACAGTGAAATTTACGCAGGTGTCGGGTATCACATTGGCAATATCATCGATTTTGTGGCAACGCTCAATTTTTTTGTTTTCAGCATTTCTCAATACAACGTAATATTGTAGACCTTTTCACAATTTTTGAAATGGTTTAAAATTACGAGTTCCGCCTCTATTTTGATTTGGTTGGATGAAAATAGTTCGAAAGATATTAGCCGTTTCACTTAATAAATCAATTATAATTCTTGAATGGCCTACTCCACATAGGTGTGCTGTATCTTTGTTCCACACTAGTGTTTTGATTAAAAAAAACGAAGTTCAATGTCTAAATGGCAGAGTTAAAACACCGTAACGTAACGAAACCGATAGCAACAGGGGATTATATACCCGGGTGGCATTTCAAAATATAATTTATAATAACTAAATAAATACAGAAAAGAAAATAAAGGAACTTAGTAAAACAACAAGGTGAACGTCACAATAGGTTGCGGTATAGTTACAGGTAAAATAGAAAGATTGCGCTTTATTTAAATGGCAACAAAGAGTTTTCTGCACGCACAGATTAAAGAGAAAATAAAAGTAATAGAAATACTGAGAAAATTCGTTTAAATAAACCGGAACCCGAATATAAGTGCATTTCTATTTCATTTTTCCATATGCGCTTATTATTGTTGGATGGAAATAGGCAATAGGTTCTGTAAGGTGTAGTCATGATTAAATCCAAATCTAATAGTAAACCAGGATCTTGTTTTTATAATTTTGCGATCGCATGGTTGCATAATGAAGCAACTAGAAAAAAGATTAGTTCTGTTAATTAAAAAATAGTCATCTTAAAGCATAGTTTATTTGCAAATCAGTTTAGTAATAAAGAATGATATCACATAAAAGGATTAGGCAATTCGAGAATCATCGAAATTAGTGCGTGAGAAATACACCATTACTCAACATGAAACGTGAATTAAACATGAGAATTTCGACAGAAAAACTCACTAGTTCGTAGTATTTTCCATCCTTTTTCAATACTTTTTATTTCAATGATCCCTCATAAAATGGGCTGATTCTATAAGTATATATCATACTTTGATACATATAATATCAATAATGTTAAAATGTCGTAAAATGGAAAATACATAAAAATTATCTATCCAGAACTATGTAAATATCCGTGAATGATTTGGAAAGCTTCAATATATTTTTATCCTCGGAATAATAATAGGATTCAACTTGATTAGATTTTTATAGGTATAATAAAACCAGGTGACATGTAAAATAACATTATCATTATGTGTAATGTGTTACGTTTCTGAAAGCATCGGGTTACTTGCAGAACATATCGTAAGACTGGTCACCTTAAAAAATCGAAACATTTTTATTTCAAAATTGGACGCAAACATTTCTAATCAGTTTGCGGTATACTTTGACTTTGTGAAAATATTCAAAATGATTTTTCCGAAAAATTGTTAAAAGATTTCTGACTGTTTTGATATATAAGAAAGAAATTTTAATATATGCTCAATTGAGCTTGTTTGCCTATTGATTGCCTTATTGATTTGTTAGAGTCGATTAAAACTGTTCATACATTAATTATTTTCCTATCTGAATATCGGATAACCAGTATTCAGCCTATCCAAGAAAGTTAATTACATTTAATATAGAATAGAATATAAAAATAAATTACAAATATTCAAAAATTCTTCCTTGAAGCAATTCATGTATGTAATTCGCGATCTGAATAGAATTTGAAAAATAATTGGAAATATTCGAGATTTGTAAGCGTATGTCGTGTATTTATGTAGTGAAAATTATTCACGATAAGTTTGTGGGTTTGAGGTCATCTCGTATTTCGTCTATGTTGATTATTCGTGGCTCTTTAATTGGATGTTTTCCCGCAAACTGTGTTTGATATACTACCAGCATCACGTATCCTCGGAATAAATTATCTTTAGTTTTACAAACAGAACAGGCAATGCGGGTTGATATTTTTTATCTGATTTAAAATAATTTAATACCATTTGTGAGATAGCATTTTGAGGCAGAGGGAATAAAGAATATAGACGTTTGCATGCAACGAATCTGAAAATAGATTACACAAACAGTTCAGTAATTTTATCTGCCCGTGACAGCGTTCTTGACTTAATTACTCTTAGTGCACGAGACACTTTCAGAGGGAAAATTTCACATTCAGGCATAAAGCTTTCCTAAGTCAGTTTGTCCGACATATCGAACCTGTTTCTGAGATTATTTGGGATTGACCAAACCAGTGAGAACTTATAAAAATCCTATTAATATATTATCTTTCTATAGCAGATAGCGACATGCCGTCAAAGATGATTACCACTTTCATTTATCAGGATTAATTTAATCATTGGGATACCTCTGGAGCTTGAATAGCGAACTTATAACTTGAAGCCAGATGTTTTGTGTTTCGTTTTGTGTTATTTTATTACTTCTATATAATATTGTACTGAATTCAATATAATACTTTACAGGTGGTACTTCCGTAGCGTTGATTAATGTTTGTTTTAAGCCACACTTACGACAACTATGGATATAGCTACCGCAGCATCTCATGTTGCTTTTATTCAACATAAAGATGAAGAGAGAGAAAATAAAAGAAGAAATTTTCGAAGACATTCAATATTTTTTTCAAGAAAAGATGGAAACAAAGAAAGCCAGGTCAGAAACGAATTAATACTTCAAAATAGACGTCTTTATAAACCGACAGTAAAACTGTGTGATGCGAATGTAATTTATTCGTTGGTCAAGCCCTTTAGTAGTTTAGTTCAATACTACCACAATTTTTCTTTTGAAATCAACCGATTTTATCACTTCGTTCTGATATCTAACGCATTCACTTGTTGTACATGGTTTGTATAATGATCTCATTTTAAGTATGTCTAAGATACTCGAAGGTTACGCTCGATGAAATGACAGAATTACGGTCTTTCGATCATGGAGATATTGTTTTTTTAATATGTTAATAATATACAAAACATAGTTGTTCAGTACTGTTACAGGATTATTCATCACTAATCATGAAAAATACACTTGCCTATTCATATGAAGACAATTTTTCATATTATTGTTTTACAAATTGCTGAATCGAGAAGACCACGGGCGACCCCCAGCGTCTAAGATTCTTTTATTACATTCATGCTCAATTATAACAACACCGGGAATCGGAATCTCTTTTCAATACACTTATTACAATCAATCGCATCATTACTTGGGCATGTAGTCGATTTGCCTGTTTCTGTTTCGTTAATTTGTTTGAGATTTGTACGATTGCATCCAGTTTGTTCCCCGGCATTTGATTTCAACGGGGATTAAAATTTAGAGAGTGATAGAGATTTTGCCACTCGGCGTGGATTAGCAGTTGCAATCACCTATTTGTAACTAATGAAGAAATATGTCGTAGAGTCGAATAAA